TGAGGAAGGAAGTTCAGAAAACTCTTCTAAGAAATCTAAGAATTTGATTGTTATTGTGGTTTCGGTGATTGGTGGCGTTTTTGTGCTTTGTTTGATTGGGGTAGTGGCTTTGTGTGTGTACAAAAGCAAACAAAAGCATTTTAGTCGAGTGCTCAGCCCAAATGCCATGGTGATTCATCCCCGCCATTCTGGTTCTGATAACGATAGTGTGAAAATCACAGTTGCAGGCTCCAGTGTTAGTCTTGGTGCAGTTAGCGAAATTCATGCTGTTTCCAATGGTGAAACGGGAGACGTTCAAATGGGTGAAGCTGGGAACATGTTCATCTCAATTCAAGTCCTGAAGAACGTCACCGACAACTTTAGTGAACACAACATATTAGGCCAAGGAGGTTTCGGGACTGTCTATAAGGGAGAGTTACACGATGGAACAAAGATTGCTGTGAAAAGAATGGAGTCAGGAGTTATCGCTGGGAAGGGGCTAACTGAGTTCAAATCCGAAATTTCTGTCTTGACAAAGGTTAGGCACCGGCACCTTGTTGCCCTACTCGGGTACTGTCTCGATGGGAACGAGAAACTTCTTGTGTATGAGTACATGCCTCAAGGGACTTTAAGTAGGCATCTTTTCAACTGGGCAGAAGAAGGGCTGAAGCCTCTGGAATGGACGAAAAGGTTGACAATCGCATTAGATGTTGCTAGAGGAGTGGAGTATCTCCATACTTTAGCACACCAAAGTTTCATCCATAGGGACCTTAAGCCTTCGAACATTCTTCTAGGGGACGATATGAGGGCTAAGGTGGCAGATTTTGGCCTCGTTAGACTTGCTCCTGAAGGGAAAGGCTCCATCGAGACCAGGATTGCTGGAACTTTCGGATATCTGGCTCCAGAGTATGCAGGTATATATGATTTTAACTTTAATTATGCCTCAATAACTTAGCCTGAACTTCAAACCATAGGTTATGCTTTTTTTTTCTTTTTTTTTGAATGCTACTGGCTCTATTACAATGAGTATCTGTTCATATACTTTCTCAACCTACTGAAACACAAAGAACCAATATCTGCTAGTGACATCTCTATTCGTTTGCCAGTAACTGGGAGGGTAACTACGAAGGTTGATGTGTATAGTTTTGGTGTGATCTTGATGGAGGTGATCACGGGGAGGAAGGCTCTGGACGAGAGGCAACCCGAGGAGAGCATGCACCTCGTGACGTGGTTCAGGAGAATGCACCTAAACAAGGACACCTTCCGGGAGACAATTGACCCCGCTATTGATTTCAACGAAGAAGTGCTTTCGAGCATAAGCACTGTTGCTGAACTTGCTGGGCACTGCTGTGCAAGGGAGCCGTTCCAAAGGCCTGACATGGGGCACGCTGTCAATGTTCTTTCTTCGTTGGTAGAGCTTTGGAAGCCATCGGAGCAGAACTCGGAGGATATATATGGCATTGACCTAGACATGTCTTTGCCTCAGGCTCTTAAGAAATGGCAGGCATATGAAGGTGGAAGCCACATGGACTCGACATCTTCGTCCTACGTTCCAAGTTTGGATAACACACAGACGAGCATACCAGTCCGCCCGTATGGATTTGCAGAATCGTTCACCTCTGCTGATGGCAGGTGATCGATCGAGGATCAATGCTGCCACAACATGCATAAGCTTTGTAGCTCGATCTCTGTAAGTTTATGTGATTATTTTGTTCTTTTCTGGTCTGTCTATGTTTTCTGAGAATCAAGAACTTAGCTCAGTCTTGAAGTTCAGTGAGCCTTGTAATGTAATGTTTCTTAAGAGTTAAGAATGGCCACTCAATATGCTTACTTCTTTTAATCTATCTGCGGTTAAGAATGGTGACCCATTACACCTCTCAATTCAACAAGATGATGAATGAAACTTGGAAAATGATGGGACTGGACATCATTTCCACTGGACCACAGAACCCCTTTTATGCTTTGCTGTGGTGATAAAAGCAGTGGTAGTAGGCTTACCTAAACACAGCATTCAGAATAGCATTTGAGCCCACTCCTTTACTTTTAAAAGGAAGTATAGTGATGCCCAACCGGGCTAGCTTAAATGGTAGACCATCTGACCTAAAGTCACTACTTTACCAGTAGGGTAGGGTTTCGACTCCTCAGCTGTTGAGTTCTCTAAGTTAATGGAAGTGTGGAGATGGATTGACTCTCGGACTCTACTCTTAGTTGGTGAAAGTGTAGAGATGGATCCCTTGTGTACAGGGACTGGCAACGAAAAAATGATGTATTAGGCATTTTTTGGTAGGTCACAAAATTTGGCAGGAAGGATAAGGATTGTGGTTGAATTGGTTTTGGGAGTTGCATCAGACGATGTCGTTTTCTCCACATGGTTGCACATGAAGGTGTCATCATCATGTTCAAGTGCAGGCTGGAGAAATTTGGGAGCATTCGTCATCTGCATATGAAATGAACGAATTGAAGCTAAGTAGGTAGAAGATGATGATATATACTCTCTATTTGGTAGAATGATCGCATGCCCTTTACTTGAAGCTAGCTCGCAATTCTTCAAGATTTTGTAATTCTTGAAAAATGAGTGACTTTCCTATGAGATCGTGATCCTTATTCGTGAAATGATTTGAGTTAATATGAACATATAAATGTCTCGTATCCTCAAAATTAAAGTATTACAGTTTATTCTTGAATATTATTACATTTTGTCAGTGTAAGTATTATATTTCCATCTCGAACCGACCTGTTTCACAAATAAAGATCTGAAGATAGTCTCACGTAAATTTTTGCCGTATGATGATGATAGGTTTCAAATATCACATGCATTTATAGTTGGCAGAGATGGAACAACATACATCACATTCTGCAATTTGGTTTGTCTTTCCCAACATTGTTTCGTAGCTTCTAAAACTTATCATCAAAGATTTCTTTTTTTTTTTTTTCTTTAAAAAATAAATTAAATATGAAAATATCAGAAATTAACTCATATTTTTAATGGAAATTGCATGGTTGAATTCCTGATTTACAATACCGTATTCCGAGTAGGTAGAACTGGTCCAAGGCGCACGCGTATGCGCAAGTGCATGTGCATGTGCATGTACCCGGTAACTCATTGGACCACCCCTTGCTTCTATTCTTTGAACTTTTTATTTTAAAAATAAAAAAGTACTTTTAAATTAATTTTTTGATAAACACAATTTTCACTGCCATTGCTCAATTCAAATTAGTACACATTTCATACGTTGATGTAACTAAATTATAAAGGTTTTAACCTCAATCGAAGTTGATGAGATATTATACTATTATTATGTAAGGTGTGGCATAAGGTCCATATCTTGGCCCAAGTGTATTTGGTCCAATCAACTCAAGTTAACTTAGCTTGAAGACTAAGGCTATTTGTAATCATAATATATTCTCACTTTGTAATGGATGCCGATAACCTAAGTCTAAAATCTTATATTTACTTAATAGCGGTGGTGGCTCTCTTTAATCTCCGATCCATAGTCTCTCAACAACAAAATGCTGTATTATTCTCTCCCTTGCTTCCTTCAAACACAAATGGCAATTGTGTTTCTCGTATTGTACGAGAGATGCAGTTGTCACTTGCGTTTGGCGTATTTTTTAGATTTTTTTTTTTACGATTTTTCTTAAACTCATTTAGGAGATGCGTTTCTGACAAAAAATGCATGTCCCAAATGAATTTTTTTTCAAAATTATACATTTTTTAAAACCTTCATATTTTTATCATTGCCTTTTCATTTCTTCTCATTTCAGTCATTTATCCTAGATATTTTCAGAACATTTGTGGAAGCATTTTCCTAAATTTTGTCATTTTTTAAGATCTTATTTTCCAACAGGCTGCATGCCAGTTGTACATTATTGTTGAAATTCAGTGACAATCTGTAGTACTGCGAGCATGCAGAGGGTAAAATGCACTCATTTATTCACATTAATTTCTGAGCGAGGACTGACTCAACACCTCAAGCTTCGAGTCCACCATTCACAGCTCATTTGCATCATTTCCCCATTTTTAGTGCCCAAACCTTTATAATATATGTTATCTCAATATTTTTTTTTTTTAATTATAAAGTATAATTTTTACACTAGTTAATTAACTATTTAATCGCCATTTACAATTATTATTGGCGATTCAACAACCCTTAAAAAAGTTCTATAAATAATTAATTAAAACAACATGTGTATTATTGACTTATCGTTGTGTACGTTATAAACATCTAACTGTAATTTCTCTCATAATTAGGGAGGACAATGTGAATATATATAACGTCTAATGGTAATTTCCCTCATAATTAGGCGGGTGAACAATGTGAATATATAAGGCAATTTGTAACCAATTACACGCATCCTTAAAACTGTCTAGTAGGCAGTTAGGGTGTTCCGAGTAAAGATAGGTTAGACACGCTGACCTTATGTAGTATATATACTCCACACGTCTTTGAGTTAATCTTTACTTGCAGTTGTCTCGAGCTCAAGCCAATGCTTTATTAGCGGTAGAGGTGGATAGATAATATTAATCTCAATACATTGTGGATATAGGGTTAGGAAGCAAGTGCCCGCACGAGTTTAGCTCAATGGTTCAGTGGATAGTATTTAGAAAAAGAGATCAAGATTTGAACCTCGACAGCAACAGTGCGGAGATTATGTCCAGCGCACCGGCTGTGAGTCACCGTGATTTACATTACATCCTCCCCTTTTGGGAGAAGGGTTAGGAAGCAAGCTAGGTTATAATGTGTTGGTTTAAATTTGAGGTAGGGAAAAGAATATAAGAAATTAAAATATGGGGAAAAGGAATTGAAAGAAATGTTGAAGGGACCGAGTAAAATAGCCACGTCCGAGGAATTGACGGGTCAGCCACAGACCGGGTCGAGTCAAAACTCCGTCCATTCCGATATTTTGAACAAAATTAAATGGAAATATGAAATAAAATTATGAACACAATGACTCGAGACTTCAATATTTCTTTTGTTCAGACATTCAACGTTCAACGTTCAAATACTACAACGTACGAATTCCTTCTCCCCTTCCATTCTACTTACTACTACTTTCATCTTAAGATTTTGAAACTTTTCTCCGATCTTCCTCTATTTCCCCGTTTTACCCCTTGAATCCCATCTTTGACCTCTTCCTCCACCCCGAGCTGAGGTAAAGATTAATGGAGTGTATATATATCTGTATATATTCTCAAACCTTTTACATATACACATAGCAGATATACCCAGATTGATCAGAGCTATTACATTAATTGTACCAGGCCAGAAACATTAAGCTTTTGTGAGATATATATAGTTTTTGTTGAATAGAATAGAATTGAATAGAATGTTTTTCTCTAGGAGAATACTTGGAAGAGTTGGGCGTGGTGGTCGGAAAAAGAAGGTTCTGAGGATAGGTTCGAGGAGGGAGATGATAACGCCCACTCATTTTCTGTGTCCGATTTCTCTGGACTTGATGAAAGATCCGGTCACATTGTCCACCGGAATCTCGTACGACCGAGAGAACATCGAGAAGTGGCTGGGGGAAGGGAACCGGACATGCCCGGTGACGAATCAAGAGTTGACGTCCTATGATCTCATCCCAAACCACGCCATAAGAAGGATGATCCAAGAGTGGTGCGTGGACAATAGGTCCCACGGCATTGAGAGGATTCCGACGCCGAGGATTCCGGTGAGCAGCTCCGAGGTGTCGGAGATGTGTGCGCGGCTGGAGGCGGCGACCGGGCGCGGGGACCACCAGGAGTGCCTGGAGTTGCTGGGGAAGATGAAGGGTTTGGCGAAGGAGAGCGAGCGGGACAAGAAATGCATAGCGGAGAGTGGGGCGGGTCGGGTTTTGTCGGCGTGTTTCCAGGCATTCTCGACGGAGAACAAGTACGAGGTTGAGGATTTGGTGAAGGAAGTGTTGTCGGCGTTGAAGTGGATGTTCCCGGTGGGGGAAGAGAGCAAGTCAATGCTGGGATCCAAGCCGTCGTTACGTTGCATGGCATGGATTTTGAAGGGCCAGGATTCATCCGCCAAAAGGAACGTCGTCATAGTTCTCAAAAAGCTGCTGTCTTTGGATCACACCTACGCAAACATCCTAGCACAGGTTGACGAGGATGTCCCCCAGGCTCTATTCGAGATGGTGAAATCCCCGACTTGCCCCTCAGCTAGAAAGGCTCCACTCGAGGTCATATACCGCATGGTGGCATCATCCCCAGAAGCCAATGGCAAATTCGTAAAAATGGGGTTGCCATCTTTGGTTCTTGAAATTCTCGTGGATGCAGAAAAGGGTGTTGCAGAGAAGGCATTAGCAGTTCTTGATGGTATCTGTGAAAGTCAAGAAGGGAGGGACAACATTTGCAGCCACCCGTTGACCATGGCGTTGTTAGTGAAGAAGATTATGAGACTTTCTGAGATGGGCACAGAGCTTTGCGTGTCAATTATGTGGAAGCTTCTGTGCAAGGGAGAAGATGAAAATCAAGTGGTTGAAGCATTGGAACTGGGAGGTTTCCAGAAGCTTCTGGTTGTTCTTCAAGTTGGATGTGGGGAAAATACAAAGGAAAGGGCTACGGAGTTGCTGAAATTGATGAATCTTTACCAAGATAGGGTGCAATGCTTGCACAATTCATCAGGCTTCAAGTATCTCAAAAAGTCATATTGACCGCCCAAACAAAAACCCTTCCCATATTCTTTTGTATTTAGATTAGGGGATTGATTTACAAAACTTAATGCATTAAATCTGACAAAAAAATGTCCAATACAAAAGTAGGAAGAGTGGTATACCACTCAGTCACTCCCCAAGATCAGACATAGAAACAACCTAGAACACTATCTAGAACATGAAACTCACAAACCTATTACAATTTCAAATGTGTGAACAAATTAAATCAAGGTCGACAAACAAAACTAAAGACACTATTAACGCCATGCATCTTCAGCTCGGAACAGGCATAGGTTACAATTGATAACTTCTATACACGAGGAATGAGTGAAGTCTTCTCAATGCGTTTCACGTACTGATCAAATACAACTTTTGACCATCACTGATCATATCTACATCAATAATTTTACCTCCATCTTCGGTTAATATAAAAGAGCCCGAACGGAGGCTGAGTTGCTCTGAAGCTGTTTTGACAAGCTCTTCAACACAGCCAGGAACCCACAGGACAACACCGGGCTTTTTGACATCCTTGGACTCTGGGTGAAATGGAAACACCGTGCACTTTTTGCGTGTCATCTTGTTGTCTGTTATCAAACAAACTGCTTTTAGCAAGCTTTGTGTAATGTGATAACATTGTATAGATAGTTAGATACTTTACGATATGTTTCTTCTCCACAAGTTTTGAGTATGGCTCATATGGTCTCATTGTATGTTTTAACAATACCTTTGAGATCTTCCAAGCATCCAGGTGGGAGTTTAGATAGTTGGGCGGATTTTGCCTCGTTCAAAAGTTCAATCAGCTGTTTGTTTCCGGTTTTTATTGCTTCATCAACTGCAGTATTTCCCCATCTGTAAGCCATAAAATGTTACAGAAATTAAAGTTTCAGCTGCTGATGACTATTTATATTAGATAATGAGAAGTTATATCAAGAACCTAAAGCTTCTAAAGCATGGTTAGCCTCGAAGATTGTATTCATTGATATAATGCTCATTGTAAATATTAATTGTGAGATCTCATTATAAGCAGTAAAGAATGATTTGCACCTGTCTTTTAGGAGAACTGAAGCATGAGCTTCCAAAAGCAACTTTGCCATTAAATGTGAACCTTGAGAAGCAGCAACATGAAGTGGTGTCTGGTGGTTATAGTCTTTTGAGTTTGGATCAACACCATTAGATAATAATCTTCGCAGAAGATCAGAATCACCCCTTGTGACAACACTACACATGAAGCTACCAGCATTGTCGATATTCAACGAGGCCCCTTCTTTAACAAGTAACGAAGCAACCCTGTCATGTCCATTCTTGATGGCTTCGAATAGGGGCGCATTTCCAAAGTTATCTATAAATATACAAACAGTTACTTTATGTAGCATAAAGGCTTCTCACACGTTTTGAGCAGTAGCCACCAAAGAAATCTACCTTGAGCATCGAGATCAACACCTTCTCGTATAAGGTAAAGAGTAATATCTTCATATCCTCTAGATGCAGCAAGGTGCTGGGATGGAGAAAAATGAGGATCTAATTAGGCAAAATTATTACACTGTTTCTTATCTTTACACACTTGAAATAAATTTCATAATTGGTAAGTTGCAAACAGATATGTTAGGAAAGTTTTAGCCAATTTGCTAAGAAAAACTAACCGAAAGAAAGAATAAATATGAAGGGGGAGAACTGAAGCTTGTTTTGATGTATAAATTCATACCAGAGGTGATCTTCCATCATAATCTTTCTGTTTAGGATCAGCTTCAGCTCGAATAAGAGTTTTAAGCTGATTCAGATCACCGTGATAAGCAGCACAATTAATTTTCAGTGCAAGTTCAGCCTCTTGCTTCTCTATATGGAATGTGATATCTGATTCCAATTGCTTCAAACTGATTTTAGATTCTTTTACCTGCAGTTCAAAATTGTCTTTCATCTATCCCACAAAAGTCATGTCTAGAACACATAGTCATCTAAGAGAAATGTGTAAAATATTTTTAGAATTGTTGGAATAATGTGGCACTTGTGCTTGCACACAAACACACACACACACACACACCTGCATTCTCATGTGTATGTATATACACATATACATGCACACACATTTATATGTATGGATATATGTATATACACATACGCACATACAACTGATGCCAAAAAAAAGCTCCAGGAATTAACATTTGTGGTTATTTTCAGCAGATCAGAGTTAGATTACCTCTAGTAAGTTAGTCAAGATTCTTCTCCCATCATGAAAATAGATGTCAACAATATTGGAGAAGGACTGTTTATCAATCCGAAGGAGTCTGCATAGTTCACAAACACGAATAGTATACGGTTGAGGGATGTTGCAAAGGATGGAAACTTCTCCAAATGAGCTGCTAGGCTCCAAAAGGGCCACTGTCTCTTCTGTTCCATCTTTCCCAATGATAACTTCCTCCTGTACCAAAATGGCAAGCATTATTAACAAGATTTTCACAAGTCTAAATTCTGAACCAAACAAATCAGTAGTCATAATAGATCTGCATGCATGATGCCCCATAAAACTTTCCACGTGCTAAATCCATAATGCCTATGTTGTCTGAAAAGTTCATTGCTAGACCTCGGAAGACAAAAGGACTATGAGAAAGCATAAAAATAAAGGGATAGATACTAATTAAGAAGCAAGTATAGAGATAGGAGAAACACTTTACCAGCACACCATCACAGATAAAATAAAGTTGGTCAGTTGCATTCCCTTGTTCCATAATTACTTCTCCTGGGAGGAAAAATTCTTCGCAGACTTTAATTACCTGTAAAACATGGCAATTGTCCAAAATTAACAGTTGAGAGCATAGTTAATCTTTCTCAGAATAAATATTTGCAACTGTTTCCTTATACGTGCCATGGTGTTAATGTGGTTGATTTATGCTATGTAGAAGTAACACACCATGGCTAAAAGAAAGAGTCAATTACCAATATAACAACTTACAATTTGACCAATAAATTCTGCAGAGCACCCCTTGAGGAGAGGAACATTTTCAATGTAAGACTGATACAGTGATTGAGAAATCTGCAAAAAGGTGGGGAATATTCACAATAAGGAAATGATAGTAAATGTTAGGATAATTAGAAAAATTGCAAAAAACCGTTACTAATTTGTGTCAAATACAAAGAAAAAACTATGTAAAAAAAAAAAAAAAAAGTACATGACAAGGCAGGAGTTAAGATACATGTGAGGAGAAGTGAGAACAGTGGGCTTTGTACTCCGTTAAAATCAGTTTTATCATTTCATAAAGCTCATAACTTTCCCAAATTAATATTATGCCAACAATAGTATATAAGCCAAAAGCAAGTTGCAAGAAATTGTTTCTATCTTGATACCTTAGCACGAATGGATATGGGGATATCTTGAAGAATAGCTGAATCAGTGTAACTACTTTCATACTGTAACCGCAAGTGACCTTTGATTTGACTACGTAGACCCTTTCCAAGCCTATTTCTGTTCATATACTTCAGGACATCAGTCATCTTATCCCGATATCTTTCAGTTTTGGATCCTTTAACAATCAGTGCTGTCATATTACCAATCAAATAAGCACCAAGGATCATGTCAAAAGAAACATAAATCATAACAAATATCATTTCTCTATTATTGACTGCATGTACATCTCCATAACCTGCATAAGGAAAAAACAACTATCATGAGAGTTCATATAAAACAACTAAGCAAACAAGACTTCAAAGATAAAATATGATAGATTTGCAAAAAATGGACTTACCAACTGTTGCCATAGTGACAATGGCAAAATACATAGAACTGGTATAACGTGTCCAGAGGTCAATCTCTCTAAAGTGTGAGTAACTGTAGTCCCCCAATTTCAAACTCCCAATCCATGTATAGCCTTCCTTCTGTTCAGGCAGAGTAGTAGCTAAATAGTAAAAGATGCAGGCTGCTGTATGTGTGCAGTAGAGTTCTACAGTGATGAGTTTTACAATCCTAGTAAAGAGATAATTGATCCGAATATCTTTCTCGAGCTTCTGGAAGAAAGCAGTGACTTTTCGTGCCCGGCTCAACCTAATCCATAAAAGGCATCTGACTTCCTCTTTCTCTCCAACAGCCTGGTTATTCCAAATTGAACTATGTGAGAAAAATCAAGGCAATGAAACAATTGCTACTGCAACACCTGTTTGAGCTAAAGTTTTCCATTTTTCTTTACTTGCACAATTGCAAAACATTTACTTGGTAATATTTAAGATGACTATAGATCTTAAGAGAGAATGCTAATGCTAACAGCACAATATATTGGTCTCCAAACATGAACTGATTTTGTACTTGCAGGATGTTAAAGAAGATATCTATTGTCTCTAATGATCTATTATTAGTTTCCAATCCAGCAAATGAAGTTTGTTTCAACAGTTGATGATCAGACAGATTGTTAGTTTTCATCTATTGTCTCTAATAGCCAAACAACTTGTGTTTGTTATCCTAGTGTGTGTGTGTGTATAATATATATAGAGAGAGAGTGACAACGGAAACTCGCGAGCACTACCAGAGGGTGTGCACTCGGTAAACCTCGACTTGTGACTCTAGCCAGCAAAATACCACAAGAAAGTAAACCCTGATCGGCTCAAACGAAGAAGGCCAATAGGCCACTCTCATAGGAGTTAAACTTGTAACCTTATAATTACCAAGTCAACAGTCTGACTAACTTCCCTGATAGTATATTTTTATATACCATCAAGTTTACATGGACAAACAATTAGAGACACTACCTTCATATTAGACAAAATAGCTCATACCACATTATTTGTTTGGAAATGTAAATAGAAAGTTATGACTAGGGAGGGGCTTTGATGAATGAATAGTACCCTATAGATTATATCCCAAGGCATACAACTGAGAAAGTCAAGGACAAAATGAGACTTCAAATAGCTGCAATAACAAAAACATAGAAAGATTAGTTAAGTAAGTAGTTTTCTCTGGGTTCACTTTAATGTGCAGTATGGGAGTGAAATGAGAACTGACCGAAGGGCAATTGAAGAACGCTTATAAACCATCCGGTATGTCTGTCTATCTCTATAGGCAACACAAAATTGCACCACAATATCAACAAGGAAAACTATTTGACCACAAATGTCCAAGAAGAAGAGTTTTTCCGGCAATCCTCTGAAGAACCCAAACTCAAATGGTGTAAAGAAAGATGAGTAAATTGCCCATACCAAGATGAACTTTTCCCACGTGCGGTACCACCTGTGCATTTAATCAATCTTCACTATTCATGTTCACACGCAAACATATACACAACACAACTACTATTTCATTTGTTTAAGGGTCATATTTAATTAAAATACTGAAATCATACAAAACATATTTTGATTGTGGATTATAAAATCATTTTACTCATTGAAACAAATAATTCAAAATGTAAGCTAGGCTAGACAATATTAGGCAATGCATGGTCATAATCCAAACTTTTACTAAATGGAAACAAGTAATACTCTTCACAGTTGTGGGTCTTGTGACTTCTTATCTATATTGTATTTATCTATTCCATTTACTTGATGCTATATTTGTTATTATTTAAAATGTTCCAACTTCGAATTGACGAATCAATAAGATTTGAAATAATGCTTTTTTGCACAAATTAATATAACGATTAAAAAGTTATCCATCCTGTATTTCCTATTGTTCTTAAATTTATCATTCATTACTCTTAATTTGATCATTCACAAATTATAGACATTTGTAAAGTTAAAATTAAAATATAAACAAATAAAATTAATGGCTATAATTTTGCCATGGTCAATTAATCTGTAGTACGTTCTGTAATACTAGAGTTTAAAATTTTGAGCCTTTCCTAATCAGATTATCATCACCTACGCATCACAGAAGTCAAAAAATCGTTATCCTCAAATTCATGTGGGCCCAGGATGCCACGTATCACCTTTGGCGGGAATAACGCTTATCCGCGATTTCAGATTAGAGCACGAAAATTTACTGATTTATAGTAAACACCAATTGTTTTGTTTTTTTTTTTTTTGTTTTTTTTTTTTTTTTGAGAGTGTAAACACAAATTGTTATACTAAGGTAGACCCGAATTCAAAATACACAATTTGCATACTGAATATTTATAATTTACCTATTGAATGTTCATAATTTATATACTTAATGTTCACAATTATCTTTTACAAAATTGTGAGCATTCAGTATATAAATTGTAAACATTCACTATATAAATAGTGTATTTTAGACCTGGATCTATCTTGCAAGGTAAACCAGGGTCCACGGAATAATTTGTCAGTAACCACAACATTATTGCTACTATTAATTAATTAATTTAAGAAAAATACTAATTACAACTTTTTATTTTTATTTAAGACATTTTGGACAACCTGAAAATTAAATTACCATATTCTTCTTATTTAATACTCACTTACCGTTATTTACTCTGCACATATTTAGAATAATCATGTGTAAATTGTAATGATTTAAACTCTTCTTGACTACTCTAGTTATATAGATACAGTTATGGTAACTTCCAGTTGCAGGCACATGTTTGGAGACAGAAAGAGAGCATCCACACTAGTGAATTTTTTTTAATTATTTGTAAGACTCATAATGAAGTAGAGGAAGAGAGAAATAAATGGAGAAAGAGAGCTGCTATGCGCGAAACGCGCACAACAAACGCCTAGCTGGGGTTAAACTTTTACTCTTTTTTTTTTGAGTGACAGATGCATAGTTTTTTTTTTTTTTTTTTTTTCCTCTTTTTCTTCCTCTCTCTTACTTGGATAATCAAAAACCGTAAAAAAAAAAAACTAAACTAATGTGGATGGAAGTTTGTTACCAGTTATCTGGATGAATGACGAGACATTGCGATAGGTCCTTGAGGCCATTGATGACTGTCTGCCTGCTAAATTTTCGCAGAGCCAACTCCAGTCCTAACTCGTCCTCCATCAACTTGAAACGGCTCCCCCGGGTGGACTTTATCTCTTCTCTCAAGTCCGCCACCTCGTACTCCGCCTCGCCGACGCCGTTCATCTCCTCCGGCGCCTCTCCTCTCCTCTTCCCCATCTTACGGCGCCGCTACTAAGTTTTATCGCCGGAAAAGTGAAATCGAACTTCAACGTTCAAACAAAAATGGCGGTGGTATGTAGCTTGCTTGCTGCAATAGATCAGAGATGGAATGCGATCGGAGTATATTGATTATTTAAACAGTGAAATTGCAATATATATATATAATATAATTGTGGTGATTGTTTTTGAGGATTAAATGAAATTTGTTTTTATTTGAGAGAAAGATTTGGCCGTGGAAGCGATCACGAGAAAGCAACGATAATGAAAAAGGACCGGCGGGGATAATATATGGCTGTAGGCGTATCTACGCTACTTCTAGACTCTAGAGAGAGGAAAGAGAGGGAAAATGAAATGTGAAATGCCTTCAATTCGATAACACAAGTATTTATAAGCAATTGAAATGCCTTAGCCTCTATCATACTTCAATAATAATACGATTGCTTCATTAATTTAATTACTTCTTGATACCTTATCTTATACGGGGAAATTCATATATATAGAGTAAAATATATATTTTTTAAAAATTAAGGTTACGTTTACTTTTTTCTTTTTTCTTTTTTGAAATATGCAAGTAAATATAATTGGATTAAACAACTTGATAAGGATTATGTTCGAGTGAAATCTTACCCCAAATACTGTCCACTAAACCATTGAGCTAAGTCCGTGCGAGTAGTTCGAGTGAAATCTGACATGATCAAGATGGGTACTATTAGTGAGTTAAATAACCACGTAACAAATAAACTCAATCTATTAACTTTAAGACGGTTCATAAAATTAAGTTAATATCATTATTACAAGTGTACTGTAAAGGTCGTGGATGTTCTCTTTAGCGTTGCCTTCTCTGTCCATTGTGCTTGAAGTGTTATGGGGAAAGTAAGAGACGATTATTATTCATATATACTCGATCGGCACACACATATAGTTTAGAGTGATGATTAATTTTATGTTGTTGTGGGTTTCTCCAATGTACCTTATAAATCATAAATATTGTTGTGCTATTGAGTATGTAGCATGTAGTAAACTTGAGCAAGTGATGAAAATTCTAAATAGATCGACTTGATCGACTGCTGACTAAGATTAAATTACATACTTGGCTTCGTAAATAACTGTGGCCTTGAAAATGAAAACAACACACCAATTAAGCTAAGCATGTTGTTGGTGGATCGGTTAGGTAGATCCAATGCTTTATTATTATAATGAAAATTGGTACATGGATTGAATATTTGATATTGTTAGATCAAATGTTACAATTCATTAATCAATTTTTGATTATGTAGATTGGTAAATTCACATAAAAAGATACTCGCTCCATTTTATTATACGTGTTAGCTAGTTGCCTAGTTTGATTAAATTAACGACCTTGACTCAATAACATTTAAATTTTTTTAATAATTAGTTTAGTGTTAATATATACAATTAATGTCGACTGGTTACAAGCAAACCATTCTAACGGCAGCTCGTTGATTGGAAAAAAAGTTACACTAGTTGTATTGGTTTGCCTAACGCACTTACGGTTGAATTATCATTGATTTTTTATTTATTTTTTGGGTGCAAATTAAGATTTCGGGTTTAATATAACAAAATATTTAATTTTTTTTCATACAAGATTCAATATTTTCATTGTTACAAGACTAATTCGAATTCAGCTTAAAACGCACTTGCAGAGTTTGACCCAATCTTTAATTTTACAGTTGTATTAACAGTCCGCTTTTCAACTAGATTACAAAGAATATAAATTTGCAAAATACAAATCTATTAAGTTTTAATAAACCAAGACTTACTCTAATTTTTTTTTTATTCTCTGCTTTTTAGTTTTTACTTATTACGCCAATAAAAATAAAAGGTCAATACAAGTAAATTATAAATTATGATTATTTTATATATCCCTATCTCTTTCAATCAAGGAATAAAAATTGAGATGTGTAATATGTTGGTCCCGATAGAGTGTAGCGAGAGTCTAGAGCGCGGGGGGGGGGGGGGGGGGGGTGAATAGACTTTTCGAGAAAAGCCCTAAAAGTCACCTTTCGTTGTTTTGGCGCAGCGGAAAAGTTAGATTCGTTTAATTGCTTTGCACGAGTTTGCGATATAAGGAAAACTTTCGGTAAAAGTGATAATGAGGATGATATGAATGCAAAAAGAAAAAGCGTAAGTAAAGAGATAGAGGAGACAAGAGATTTTATAGTGGTTCGGCTAACGTTGCCTACTCCACTCTTCTTCCACAACTGATGGAAGGATTGCACTATCACTCTTTAGTACAATTACACAAAGACCTCCTTGATCACTAAGCCGGACAGCCTTCGTAGGTTTTTCAACTCCTCGAGTTTACTCCGCCTCTATCAACTTCTTCTTCAGAGTTGAGGTTGGTAGAAAATGATTTCTTGATTTCTCTAACGTGATGAAGTCTTGACAGTGAGAGATGATTGCTTCGAACAAATGGCAAGACTTCTTTAAGGTGTAAGAAAATGATCAATAACCTTCTTTTGTAACTTAACACCTTAGCACTGGTTCACAAAAGCTTTTAGAGATTTGAGAGTGTTCAAGAGCTTTTGCAAGTGAATGAGTCGAGTAAAAGAAACCAGCACCTTCTTAGTTGATGAAGGTGGGTTTATATAGGTGATGAAAATTCATCCATTGGAGGGAGATGAGATTTTCGAATCTTTTAACCAGTGGGCAAGGACCGGGGAGCTTCATGCATTAAATGCTCTATTAATGAGGTTGTACCATGTAGCCGTTGAAGGTATGGAAAGCATTAGGGTTTTGTCCTTTAGCTCCAGGAGATGGTACACCTTCATTTAATGCTCCTTGATTAGTGTGTCCCATAATAAGATGAGGTCCTTATTGTCCTAGGATGTTGTCAAATAAGACAGATAGAACATTCTTCTCGTTGTTGGAGAGAAGTAATGCTTGGTAAGAATCGTCTTTAACAAAACTGTCCTTTCGTGATAGTTGACAACTCCTGCTTGACTTTCGTTGTTGTTCATCATGCTTTGTGTCTTCTTTCGTCTTGGAGACCCTAACAATTAGTCATAACTCATTTTCGTGTGTTTGTCTAGCTTAACACGAATTACAGAGGAGTTATGGCAACTCTCGTCTAGGACGAAAGCAGCGATCGAAAAAGCTAATAGTTAGGGGTCTACTTTTCTATATTACATTGGTATCATCAAAATCCTAATACAAGGTTCCTAACATAATATAAGATCATAAATGAAAAGTAAATAATTTGATATGATATCCTTACAGTACTTCATGCGTGTATGGAAAATACTTAGATTTGAACTTGTAATAGATATGGTGGAGAAAAGAAAATTAATATTAATTTTCTAATATACTTTTTTGAAATCACAATGTGATTCATATTTTAGATTGATGTTGTGGTATTACACGTTTAAGATCAATTCAAATTCAATTGATATTCATGATTTTAGACAAAATTTTATGTTACATACTGGCATATTCATGATTTTAGACAAAATTTTATGTTACATACTGGCATTGAGGGCCGAGTTCAGTATCGTATCATCGAAACGTAATGTTGACTACTACGTAAGTATAAAGAAATAAATGTGTACATTCAGTACTAACTACTAATTATACCTTTTGATATAGTGATAAGTGTTTGATCATTACATTTTATTGTAAAAGGTTATGTGATATATATATATATAGGTTAAAGTTCCAGTGCGGGTGAATGCTTCCCGTGCGGTTGTGCGAGTGATTAATGTGCGCGAGTTTTGTACTTAATGTGCGTGAGTTTTGTACTTAATGTGCGTGAGTCTTGTGCGTAATGTGCGTGAGTTTTGTGCTTAATGTGCGTGAGTCGTGTGCTTAAGATGCGTGAGTTTTGTACTTAATGTGTGTGAATGTGTACTTAATGTGAGTTGTTTTTAAAACTTAAGGCGCGTGCGTTTTTGTGATTAACATGCTTGAGGCATGTGCTTAACATGCGTGAGGCTTGTGTTTAACATGTGTGAGGTTTGTGTGCTTAATGTGCGTGTGTTGTGTACTTTAAGTGCGTCAGATTGATGCTTAACGTGCGTTCACCCGCACAACCGCACGGGAAGCCTCAAATGCACCTGATCCCTTCCCTATATATATATTCCAATTGTTCTGCGCACTATTTCAATTAACACCACATTAATCTAAGTACTACTTGGCTTGACCCACCACGTATAAGGCAATAAGGCATTTAGTGGATCACATTAATAGCACTATTACATATTCATTTGGGTGTGAATTTTTTTAAGCCGCAAAATTGAGATAATAAAATAGAACGTACAATAAGTATAGAAATTGAATCACAAAAGACAAAGTGAAAATGGAAATCCTGGGAGGCACAAACCACTAACTCCCCATTATTCCTCAAAAACCGTCAACCTCAAAGCTCCATTCTTTAATGGCCCTGCCGGTGTTCAGTCCCACTTCATCTGCTCAAATCGTAAACCAGTGGCTGTTTGCTACTCTCTAATCCACTTCACATTTCATTAATTAATGCCTCTACGTAGTATGTAGTCCCAATATTAATGTTATATATGTTGCTCACCCACTCTTTCATTCATTGTGATATGATATGATGTTTGTAGTGTTATGCAGCTAGCACTAGAACACATATAACCTAATACTACACCATATATTGGTGCATGTACCTAATATATGGACCCGATATATCATACTATTAAATATTTGATAACTTCACGAAAAGACATTCCAATGACAAGGCTGGGGTGACAACTACTTATATACTCAAATTTCATTTCATTTATATTTATATAAATCATTATATTTTTCACAAATCAAGTAGTTATTATACTGAATTATATTTATACAATCATATCATCACTCTTAGCTTCAGCCTATTTTTGTAGATCTAGCTACAAATGTTGTTATATAATCAAAAAGATATATAGGAGATCGAGAATCTCTCTATTACTTTTACTTTATCTTCATCAATTCTTTTGATGAAAATTATTTTCCTCCCACCATTTCTTACTTTTCAATCAATGAAAATGAATTCAGTACCTGTTGTCGGGGAAGAGTAATTTTTCCTCTCTTTCTTTCACAAGAATGGTGTAACAATTTTTTATAAAGCATGTGGCACACATCGAGTAATGTATTGTTATTGGAATTGAATTATATTGTTTGTATTATTGTGTTAATATTTTCATAAAAATAAAATTGTTGGTCCACTACAATATTAGGTGATTGGGAAAGCTCATCAAATAACTATATCAGTGCTGTAAGCCAATTTGACATATATAGTCTTCTTAGACTCTGGAAACTAACAAATAGGTGAGGAAAGTAAGCAGACTAGCATGTGGGTTTAATGGGCTCAACATATACCAACGAATGTGTCGATTACAACAAATTTAGTATGATGTTCAGAAAGTCAATTGGCGAAGACTTGTGTTATAGGACGACAAAGTACAATAATAACAAAAGTAATCGTACGTATTCTGAATAAAGAGGCCGGATCGATGTAACGTAACTCATATAGTCATATTCTTAAATGTAGTGCACAATTTGGTTAAGGAACTATTGGCTATATATTTTGGTATAAGGTTGTATTGGGAGAATGAATTTTTGGTGTAACCACAACGTGTTCGGGGTCTTTCTCTGTCCGTATAAGGCTGTGTTGGGATATATGTCCTAAATTTATGTAATTAACTAGGATGGTCTGCATGTTGTGTGCATGGAATGAGGTTTAAAAAGGAAAAAAAATGGTGTTTGACAGCAAATAAAATGCGGTTCATGTCATCATAGTTTATTCTTCTTCCAAATCCCACCACTAATATACTTAGCCAATAATAATCCTCGTCCCTGGGAGTTTCGTTTTCCAATTATCTTCACTCTTATCATCTCTACAATGGGCTTCCAGTCGTCATCATCTTTCACCTATTGGGCAAATATGCCAAATAATAACAATAATAATAATAATAATAATAATAATAATAATAATAATAATAATAATAATAATACAAATTTTTGTAGTGTCTAATATATAAGTACAACTATATATGATATAGATTATAGACTCTGTTTGACAAAATAGTTAGCCTATCAATTAATTTTGGAGTGTTTGATCATTATTAATTGTTTGACTTGATTAAAGAACCAATATAAGTGTTTGATTAATTAACTTTTGTAATAGTTTATTGTTCTAAAACACTAAAATTCAAAAAGCTGTTCAAAACAGTTTTTTGATAAACATTTTGAGAAAGTCATTTTGTATGTAATCATCCATCAGCTAAAATTCGAAAAGTTGTTCAAAGCAACTTTTTCGATCAACATTTTGTATGTAATCAGTTATTGTTATTAGCTAGTCAAACTCACTAACCCAATCAACTAAAAGCTACTGACCAAATACCCTCATAATCTGCATAACGATCAATTTCAAATAATAATGGTCAGGACATATATATACATGCATGGTCGCGTGTATAATGAAGTGCCTTCAAGGAACACACCCACAAAAGAACATGGGTGCTTCCTTTGAGTGGTTTCCTATCACAACACCATCACGTGCTGTCGTAACTCATAACTACAGAATGCATGGCCCGGACGATTGCCAACTCAAATTTGAAATTTCAATAATGCCAAGTACCCTTGTCTTCAATTATTTAATTCAAAATTTGGAGAGATTTTATAACCCAACCTTGTGAAATGATATTTTTGTCAATATATAGAATAATATTTTTATTTTTATTTTTTATAAATATTTAAAAAAATTGTCTATAATAATTAGAATTTTTACTATTTAGTGCTATAATACTTTTTATGAATTAGTGATCGTCTTCTTTATTACTCTGTATTAAATCAAATACTATAATATAATATAATGCTTAAAATTATGGTTTATATAGTATAAGTAACTGGTATGGTGTAACAATTTGATATGCTGGAGGCTAATACATTTTAATTTGGACCAAAATGAGGCTAATTAATTCAATGAATTCTCAGCCTTGCTGCTATAAATTACACAAGAATGAAACTCAAACCTGGGAAACAGTTTTTAACAAGACAAATTAAACTATCTACCTTAATTAATTTCTGAAATGCAATATAATGCTCGATCACTGTTACCTAAGATCGAACAGCAACCACATAATTAACATGCATGCATGCTCAAGCTAAGGTTTCCAGAGAATGGTGGTCTCTGCAATCATGGAGGTAACAACATAGGGATCCATGTTCGAAGCAGGCCTCCTGTCCTCGAAATACCCTTTGCCATTTTTCTCTGTGTCTCGCCCAATCCGAACAGAGGCCCCGCGTTTCGCCACACCCTAGAAAAGGTACGACAATACATTTCATAAAATTGGGTAACGATACATAGAAGACGATGATGATGAGTAAAATAAACGTACCCATGAGAAGGTGTTGATGTCGGCGGTCTCATGTTTTCCGGTAAGGCGGCGGTCGTTTCCCTCACCATATGCGGCAATGTGATCTTCGTGTCTGAGTTTAAGTTTCTCAATGGCCTGCTTGATCACTTCTAGTCCACCATCATTCCTCATTGACTTGGTGCTGCAAAAACAAAAAAAATCATTGTCTCATCTCATCTCCAGTTAGTTGTATTTCTATGGCAGAGTATATGAATGTATGCATTTTGTTCATTGTACCTGTAGTTTGTGTGAGCTCCAGCACCATTCCAATCACCCTGCAGATAAAATAAAGAAATTCATATTCAAAGACTCAAATTTCCCTTTCCAGTCTAACCAAAAACATGTACTGTAATATTCAAGAATCATATCTGAACCAGAAAACTGCAAGCGATCGAGCTCACCTGAACAGGTTTGGGGTCAAACGAGACTACAACGCTGGCGATCTCACTGATCCTCTGCACCACACCAAAAATACTACACAGTAAGCCTAGCTGCGATATGATTCTCTTTAACATATATGGAGAATATAATATAATATAATATAATATAATATAATATAGTGTAATTGTATTACCTCAAGAATATAGCGAGCTACCCATACTTCATCGGCGGCGGAGATGCCAACAGCAGGTCCAACTTGGAACTCCCACTGCATATATAACGTATCAATACAGAAAATATGTAAGCTAAGGAAATGAGAGGTGGTTTGGTATTTTCTCATTTATTAAATTTTCAAGAAAAACGTTTTTATCAAAGAATATATTTGATGAGAATAACTTTATCGGAAAAAAAATCGCATCCCATTTGGTGGGATTTAATGCAATTCCTATTGACCTAAATTTCCTGAAAAGTTCAAACTTTTTTGGTTACTAAATGCCCGCCAATAATGTAACTCACCTCCCACATTATTACTACCAAAAGAGACTCTATGCTCACAATTTATTACTCAGGAATCACCCACGCGGTAAATACTATGGCCTGGTTTGGTAAAATAGTTAGCCTATAGGTCAGTTTTGGCTTATTTGACCACTATTAGTTGTTTGACGTGGTTTAAAAATCATAAGTGTTTGATTAATTAACTTTTTGTACTCCAAAATGCTAAAATTTTAAAAGCTATTCAAAGCAACTTTTTCAATTAGCCACTAAAAGCTAATTTACCAATCATCTTTCTACAATCAGCTAATGTTATCAACTAGTTATACCATCTGATTAATCTTATCAGCTAACAACCATTTATCAAACAGGGTCTATACCTGGCCAGGCATCACTTCTGCATTAATGCCACTGATGTTAATCCCTGCATAAAGGCAGGCCTTGTAGTGTGAGTCCACAATGTCACGCCCATAAGCTTTTTCAGCGCCAGTTCCACAGTAGTATGGTCCCTGAGGCCCTGGAAAACCCCCAACAGGCCATCCAATAGGCCACTTCACATCCTTTTGCAGGAGGGTATACTCCTGCTCAATTCCATACCTAATATGATTTAAACCAATTCAACCAAAAATTATAATTAAGTAGTTATATATAACATACACAACACATGCATGCTGCAGCCTAGCTAGATCGAATCGAAAACACAATATATATAATGCATGCAGCCTGAAGAATTACCAGGGCTCCTCCTTAACAACATCAGGGTGGCTGAAAACCTTGGCGGCGCCATGGCGTTTGTTTGTGGGGATAGCCTCACCAGCGGGAGTGTAGGAATCACACATCACCTATACAATACTAAACGCGAATCAAATCCAGTGTGCATTATATTGCATGCCTTGAAATACTCATCAATACAATAATCCTGCAGTTAAACTCACCAAGATATTGTTGCCTCCCCTGAAAGGATCCTTGAAAATTGCCTGGGGACTGTTACGTTACGTTACAGATACATATATACCATCAAAATCAAATAGAAAAGTGTGATTACATTCTTTAAAAACAAAAACGTAACTACTTACTATAGAATCACTTCACTGTCAACTCCAGGGGCTTGGCCAGTGCTAGAGCCATCGTAGTTCCATTTTGGGAGCTTTGAAGGATCAGTCACAGGTCCATCAAGAGTCTGTACGTTAAAACCTCAACTCTAGCTAAGTTGAACAGGTTGTTGACTTGGTAACCGTAAAGAAAAAAGAAAAAAAAAAAAAAGAATTGGAAGAATGTAATACCCTTGCTTTGCTTCTGAGATCCTTACCAGATCCACCTATCCTGTTCAAAAAGGCAATACATAATAAGATGTAAATGATAGATTTCCTAATTAACTTATCCCAGACTAATAATCCTAAGTAGTCCCCAGCATGAAATCATAGTTTTGTTAATAATAATTATTAGAAGGAGACAATGAGAAGATAAACAAAAAGAAAAATGAATTGAAGAACATAAATAGGAAGAAAGTAATGAGAGAATCGAATTAAAGAGATCGAAACTCGCCATATGTACTCAGCGATGATCTTATTAGTGGCGTCTTTGAGGTTAAGGTTGACGAGATCCGTAAGCAGAGACATTTTCGATGGATTCTTCAATTCGTTCGATCAAATTCTAATTCAATGGATAACTTCAATTCGTTCGTATGCAGATAATGATGATTCTAGGAGAGGTAGGTATTGCCCTATCTGTATTGATTGTATACAATAATCCGCAAATTGAGTTCAGCAAATAACCCATGATCAAATTTGAGATAATACATACACTAATTAATAAAGCTTTTGGGTGCAAATGTGTAATGAAAGAATAAAGTAAAACATAAAAAATTCAAATTCTATTGTTTGATTATATTGGTGAATATAAAATTCTTATGCATTTCTATTCTAATATTTGGTTTAAATGTAAAGAAGATGGAATTTCAATCATTATTGCAAGAATCGTGGTCCATATAGCTGTGTAGACTACAATCCAAAAACACATAAAGTATATTATTCTAACTCATAAAATACATTATCTTATTCCAGAAATTCCATTATTCTAACACATAAAGTACATTTTACATTATTCTAACTCATTAAATACATTATTCTAACACATAAAGTGCATTATTCTAACTCATAGAATATATTATTTTACCTCAAAAATTTTATTATTTTGACATATAAAATACATTATTCTAACACATAAAATATATTATTCTAACTCATAACATACATTATCTTATCCTAAAATGTTGATTATTTTAACACGCACACAAAACATGAATTTTGTTTTAGACATAAAAAATAACGTTGTTTTTTATCGTGGTCCACACAGTTGTGTTTACCGATAATTTGCCATGGAATTTAGTTCATTGTAGAAGGCCGTGAGCATTTAAGGAAAACATCAAAAAACACAGTGCATTGACATCCAGTGGGCTTTGGACAACCAAATAATAGGCTAATTTCGTATGCAATCAAGGCGCAAATTATTTCAACGAGTTTATAGGTCTTTCATTCAGTTTTTGCGTTTGGGCTTGAACTTCTTGAGTAATTATGCTCCAAAAAAGCAACAAGACATTGAATAAGGCAAACAAAATTTAGGACAAATTATGGCGTGAGCTATGACAAAAAGTACATTTTTAATATATTAGAAGTATATTATTCGTGTATTGAATATACATTATATAAAATAATGTATTTTTAGTATTCAATTAATATACTTTCTTTGAATGCAATATAAATTTTAATATATTAAAAATACGTTATTTGTGTACTGAATGTACGTTATTTGATAGTATGGTCCACATAGTTGTGTGGACTATTAATGATTGAAAATTTAGAAGCTCGGTTACGTCACTAGAGTTCCAACGACCCTCTAGTGATCCTCTTACTACCTCCTGCACTATTCCCTGTGACAATACGACCGGCGACGGGAGAAGGTGATTAGATCACTGGGTCGCCTTCTCTATTGATTTGAAGGCGACCGGCGACCATTCACCGATCGCTGATTGTTTTGTTATCAGAAATAGTGTCATAGTTTGCTGGAGGATCGCTGAAGGGTTACCGAAATCCTAATAATTAATTAGTTTTGAGCTTCAATGCACTAAAATAACATGTTGATGAGTTTAATTATACCTTTGAAATATGTAGGGGCCTAACTTACTTTTATGGTAAAGTTCAATGGCCTATTTGACCATTTTTCAAAAAAAAAAAAAAAAAAAAAAAACTCTTCAACCACACAAATTTATATTACATACCTCAATATTAAACCAAATACAAGAATTTAACATTCCCAACAATCTAACATTTCTTAAAGTAATATATATAACATTCTGTGAACCAAACATTTCCTAACGATTTTCGTGTATCATTAATTTTTCTTTCTTTCTTTTGGTATAGACGCACCACAAAATTATAGTGGTGTAACATTGCCCTTGGACCTCTTGCCCCAACATTTGGTCGCAACCCTTGCCCTTGGGCTTTTAGCCTAATCTTTTGTCTGAACCTCTATTCTTGCATTAGGCCTTTGGTCCAATTATCTTCTATACCTAAATTCAATTCTCCCATTAATAACAAAGCACCAACACATATAAAAAGAAAATCATTAAAAATGCCCGCACAAACTTAACTCATTAGTTCAGTAGGCAGTATCTAAGAGTCGAAACCAAGGTTCAAACTTCGACAACACTGGGACCATGTCTCTTCCCTCCCAAAGAAGAAGGAAATCATCAAAACCTTTTGTTCCTTGCTTGAATCACAAGGAAACCTTTCATCATTTCTCATTTCAACTTCCCACAAATTCTTTCTTTCTTTTTTCTCAACATTATATTCTTGCTATATTTTTATTTGCCTATCCTCTATAAATAATACATTGCAGATCGAAACCGGCCTGATGACATCTTGATTATGTCTCCATTCAGCCATTGATTTTGAAGTTTCAAGTTAATTATTATACAAGCTCAATGATTGCTGTCTCTGGGAAAATATGGCTCAACTAGCTAATTCATTAAGTGATCCAACTTGAAAAAAAATACAAATAATGAAAAATTAATACAACTGAGCTTTCAGGGAGACTTGTTCAAATGATGCAAAAAGTAAATATTTTGTTTTTATTGTTTTATTTATGTTTGTTGTCCCATTCTATATAGTTAATTAGGACATATTGACTTTTGAGACCTGTGGTTCCTCTTGGAGTAGGACAATTTAATGGTGACAATTTTTTGGACATATATTTTAAGGTATATTTCATTGGTTTTGTATCCCACCTCATGTTAGATAAGGATGAAAACTTATGGGGTACAGTAGTCCAAGTTATGTGATAGAGATGATAGTATAATAGATAAAAGACAAAACCTCTCACCCCATAGAAATATGAAGGAGTTAAATGATGGTGATTTCACAGTCTTTTAAGTGGGAAGATCAGTAATTGATGTTCGATCACAAGGAGTCACCCTACAAGAGGATAAAACTCTCACACTGCGACTGTCATGATTCAATCATACATCCTTTAATTCTTGGGTGCAATCTTTCACCTAGCTGAAACCAACTGAGCTACCATACTTTAAATATATAAAATTTATTTTTTAATTTTATTTCGAGCTATGCATTTATATCTTCTTGCTAAAATTATAAAGATGTGTACAGGTATACCTAGCTAGCTTATTTTCTTAGATTTTTTCTACATATTATAAAGTTGTGATACTGATATTTTTTATATTGAAAGGAAATGACTAAAATGACATGTGACTATGTGAGTAGTTATTTTGAAACATTATTTTAGACAGGGTCCATTAGTGATTTCAATTTGCATGACTAAGAATAGATTTAAAATTGTATTATCTTAAGTGAGTAATTGAATTTCATATATTTGTATGTTTCACATGATTAATGGACGAAATAAAAATTAATTATTTTTGCATGGCGAGGTGTAGAGACCTTTAGGGTTAAGAATTTAATCTTTGGGAGAAAAAGAAATTAAGTACAGAGTATCAAATATAATGTACTTATAAAATTATGAATCAATGTCAACATTTAAAGAAAATGTGGGTGCAGTATGAACTATATGTTATTCGGTCATTTATTAATTTGTGGCAAATTTAAAGATTATATGAGGTAGCAGATTAAACACAAGGAGATGAGGGTGTGACAAATAATCTCAAGCTATTAGAGATTCCGTTATTCGATCAAAAAATTGCAATACTTATAAAGAAAAATGTAATATTTGTGAAAAAAGTATATTACTGATGAGGATTCGATTTTTTTTTTCTTTGATAATCAAATCTTTATCTCATCTGTCTTTATTTTCTCCCATGTATTTGCAATAACTTCGTTCATAAAATTAAATAAATAAATAATGATTTTATATAAAATGAATTCTATTCCTTAATCACATCAAGGCGTGACATGTTTCCAATTATGAGCAATAATTAACATCAACCGAGCATCATAAATTCATATAAATCATAATCATTAGTGCATTAGATTATACTTGACCAGTCGTACGTTATTATTAATTGATATATTTTATTTATGTAATTAATTATCAAGCCCGATCTCAAAATTATTATGCAATGTTTGGCAAAGGCACTAGCTCTTTTTTTTTTTTTTTTTTTGATTCTTTTTTTGATGAAGATAAACAAATTAGCAAATATTATCTTAAATAGTTTGATTATTGGATTACTCTCTTTTATTATTTGTGTATGATATTAATTACGATCACAAGTAATCTCATTGTTTAATTGTAGGAGGGAGGTATTGTAATCTTAAAGTTAAAAAAAAAAAAAAAAATTATGCTCTAGAAGGGATAGCTAAAAAAGTGAAACATGATTCTTGATACACATAATATTCTTAGTGTGGTTTGAAAGTTAGAGATCGATTATAAGTTGTATAAATACTTTTAATTTTCTTGTTGAGTCAAAATATCTATGAATAACATGGAGTTGGCTAAGATAATAAAAGGTTTGTGGAGTTGAAAATTTCAATCAGTACTGTTATATATCGCTCGTGCATGATATCTAAAAATCTATTAAGAGCGAATGAAGATTGATATCTTTCATTTATGTATGCGTTTTCGTTATTTTGGTTGATATATCATACCATAAGAGTTGTATTATACGTTTTTTTTCAACAAAAATACCCTAGCGTTATTATTTATGTTATCTTTTTTCATTACTGTTACATCCACGTACATCTACGGCCATATCGTTTCTTATATTCTTCGATGATAATAATATTATATATATGTGTCGACATTATATTAGAGTAATATAATACCGAGTACATAAATTTGATTTCATTTAGATTTTAATTATTGTTTCTTATATACGGTTTTGTTAGTTATTTTCAAAAATATAAATATTAAATTTTTAAAAATGAAATTATTATTATATTATTATTATTATTATTATTATTATTATTATTATTATTATAAAATAATATAAATATTTCTTGATATTGTTCAAATTTGATAGTCAAATTTTATCATTTTAATAAATTGCAAAAGATAATTAGAATTTAAAAGTTTAAATAATTTTAGTATGATTATTATTTTAATATTGGGCACAAATTTTCTTGCATTGTGAGTACCTTATCTCTATCTC